TAGACATTTTATGTTACTTGTTGGATAGGAGGGTGGGACCACAGTAGTTATGTGAGTCCAAATTTTATTATGTTTTTGAGTGTTATATATGCTGTTTTATGTTTTGCCACCCTATAAGGGCATAGTTGTCTTTGTACTGTTCTATTATACTAAAGGGACGGCCAGATTATTGCTCTCTTTTCTTTACAACTTCTCTTCTTCTCCTTCTCTCTTCCTTCTTTCTTTAAGAAACTACTTTTCTTTTATACTTTTTAATTCAGCAGATTTCTACTCTACTTAATAACTTTGATTTGGTAATATAACTCCTAAACCAACTAGGAAAATAAACACTTAGTTTAATTAGGAAAGAGAGGGGCAGGGATATATTTAAAGGAAATACTCAGTCCTGCACTAGTGACAGGAATTTGCATGATGATGCTGGATTTATTAGCGATACATCCTTACTTTAAGGATGTTAATATTGAACTTCATTCAGAATTACAATCAACTTCAGTTTTCATTACTGATCCAAAAAAACAATGCTGATTTTAAAATGCTTAGTGAGGATTTGTGATTTTGTTTTTTTTTTTTCAGTTGATAATTGCTTTGTTGGTGATACCTTTCACCTTCTGTGATACAGTACTAATCATTTTTCTCATCATCATTATCATCCATGCCTTATCCCAACTATATTGGGTTGGCTACATGAATCTGTTTCGTTCTATTTGAAGCCATATCCACTTTAAATTTTCAGAGATTAAATCATTTCTTACTACTACCCATGTCCTTTTTGGTCTACCCCGAGCTCTTCTAGCCCCTTCAATGTGTAACAAATCACTTCTTCTAACTGGCACAGTTGGAGGTCTTCCATGCACGTTAGGGGTGAGCAAAAAAACCGAAAAAACCGAACCGACCAAAAAAAATGACCGAAACTGAAATGAATAATCGGTTAACCGAACCGGTCAGTTCGGTTTCGGTTCGGTGTTTTTAAAAATCCGAAGGTACCAGTTCAGTTTCGGTTAACCAATATAAAAAACCGGCGTTTAACCGAACCGACCGGTATACATATATTTCTATGTATTTTATATATATTTATGTATATTATATTATATTATATATATTTTTATAATATATATTGTAAAAACAAAAAAAAATGAACCGCCGGTTAACCGACTGGTTTTGGTTCGGTTTCAGTTACCAGTTTTCCAAAAACCAGTACTAGAAAATGCCCTAACCGAACCGTGAGCACCCCTAATGCACGTGCCCAAACCATATTAGTCTACGCCCTCTCATTTTATTACCTATTGGAGCTACTCCAAGGTCCATATGGATAACTTAATTCCTATCCTACCCTTTGTAGTTTTTCTACTCATCCATCTTAACTCCATTCCTAATTTTGTTTTATTGCATTTTACAATAAGAATACTAATTTCAGTGGAATTGTGGAAATAAAGCAAGAAGGATCAATTCAGATTCCTCTCCAATTTCCTTCAGCATGCAATTTATAGGGTGTATTCACTATTAAAAGTTCCTTTAACCCAACAAAATTCCAAATTCATTAATTGAAATTTAGACTAGTTGTCTTTTAAATTGACTTACAAATATCACTCATATTAACCAGAAAGTCCCAATGCACAACCACAGAAACCCAGTTCAACTTTTTTTTTTAGTAGTTCAGCTTTGTTCATCATCAGAGCATCTACCATGGCATTGAAATGTCTTCCAAAAGAGTTTATAGCTTAAAAAACTAGTAAGTAAAAGATATACATACCTTGGGAGCAAGAAGGAGCATAGACTTCAATGTTAATTCCCGGAGAAAAGCAGAAGTATCAGAAAACCCAGTGGCAACATGAGGATATACCTAATCGCAAGCATTACCCAGACAATTTAGGATTTCCAATCTGATGGTAAACAAAGTAGAATATCTATCAGGAGACTCTACATCTGAATCTGATGAAATTCTAGTTAGATTGAAGCTATGAAAAAAAAAATATATATATATATATATATATATATCAGAAAAGACCCCATACTTGCTCATCTACAACTTGAGTTGACAATGATTCACCAAATTGCTCTATGTGCTGCAGAAGGCCTACTCTAATAGCTCGATCATTGGAGGCAAAGAGTTTCACAATTGTTGGAAGTACCTATAAATAACAAGGATTAGCCAATTTTGTCTGCCTTAAGGACATAAACATCAAAATGGAATTAATGATAAGCATTAATTAAAAATAACCTTAACATTGAATTCTTCAGTTGAAAGCCATGAGCCCATTTTCAACAATGCAGTTAAGGCAGGAGCTGCAGCTGAACCAAATTCTAGAGCAGATGCTAACAAAGGAAGTAACTGTGGAATTTAAATGATCAAATCATAAGTTGGAATCTCTCAATAAAAAGAAGACTGGAAAATGCAACTCTTTTGAAACACATATACTTCAAGCATTTGACCTTCTTCAGAACAATTTGGCGAGGAAGCTGCTCAGCCAAGTTTGGAAGTTTACGGAAAAAGGTGTCCTTCTCAACACTATCTTTCAAATTCAGAATTTCCATGAACTGTATAGTTTCTACCAACTTATTCTGAAAATATTCTGCGAAGAATATCAACCTCTCTATATAAGTACAGACAAGTAACAAGAAAATTATGCATGTTCAGTGGAAAACAACAAAATAGGTGACATAAAAAATGCAATAGTTAAAGATATAGTGGGAAAAGTAGAAACAGAAAGAAGGAATCAAGAGCACATGTGGGACTTCTATTTTTTGTAGAGACTTGGGGATTTTGAGGTTTTAGAGGTAACACTGGCTTTAGAATTTCTAGAGGGTGTTTTTTCTTTTTCTTTTTCATCTGCGACTGTTAAAATTTGATTAAAAAGATGCAAATGAATAATCAATAATATGTGCAATGATCGTCTTGCAACTCTAGATTGCCCTAGTCCACTAGCCACCTCATGTTTTTATATTTCCTTTGGAGGATCAAACACTAATACATGGAATTTCCACACCCCTCGTTTTGCTAACCATCTGCCTTATATATAGTTGACAGACCTTGGTATCCAATTATAGACTGAATTCAGCTCCTCACTTGAGTATCTAATCTCCCTTTTTGTGTCTTAAATCCAAAAGCCTGTTTTGTTCTGCCTCACCCAGCCCACCAACAACTAGGAGTCCCCTTTCACAATTAGCCCACTAATATTTAAGGACTTTGCAAATGTCAGCCCATGTAACTTTGCCAACAATTCTTCCCGAGTTGAGGTCCCAAAATCAATGGGTCCCAACTACAGTGCTAAGAGGTTGAATTCACATCTTCTAAAGACCGCTCCTATGCCAGGACCAAGGTTTCCCAAGCTGGACCATCAAAGTTTAATTGAATGTACTTTGGGGGAGGAGAAATTCAACACCTAATACATAAAGTTCATATGCTTTCCAACAATATGTGGGTCGGGGAGGGTCGGGTTTAGCCTAATACTGTACCCTACCCGTACCCCTACAGATTGTAAAATTCCAAAACATGTTCCTGCCCATCAAGCAAAAAAAAAAACACCCCGTCGAGGCAAGTACACCAGGTAGGGTAGAAATTGCCATCACTACAAATCACCTCTATCCCTTGTAGCAATTGAACACCTTTCCTCTTCTCATAAATGTAACACCACCAACCATTTTCCTCTTTTCGGAGCCAGCTAATTACAAGCTTCAAATCACCTTCAATTAACAACTTTCTGATATTCAGTTCTGTTAAAAGACTGTTATTTATCTAAGTATAGTACCACAGGGGTACTATTGTACTTTCCTCCTCTTATTTTTTATGTTCTGTCGCCCTAGTATATATATCAAAAGCTGGCGCCGCCAGCAGTACTTTTGGCTCTCAGTTCTCTCTTCTTCTCTCTTTCTCTCTTTATTCTCTCTTTCTCTCTTTCTTCTCTCTTCCTCCCTTCTCTCCTGCATAACATGGTATCAGAGCGGGACTATCAGATCTGAAAGGAGAAGTCAAGTGAACAGTTTTCTTCACACCAGATTTCCAGATCTGCCGCCCTCATCCACTGTTCGGCTGATTGAAGATCAAGGTTTTCTCACGCACTTAAGTACCTTCTCTCCTCCTTTTTTTCTGGTCGTGTGCCAGGGCAGAACCTGTACTAGGTCTGCTAGTTGGATGTGACGTGATCAGCACCTCTTTCTTTCCTTTTTTGTGGGGTCGACTGATCCCTGTATAAACTGTAGGTCGTGAAGACTTTTGTGTGCTGCAATAGCAGTTTTTTATGGTGGACTGAAGGTCAAAGAGTGACCTGTACGTGCTGTAACAGCCTTCCTGTTGATGCGTAGGTCAAGAGATGACCTGTATGCACTGTGACAGCACCTGTATTGATTCTGTAGGTCAAGGGATGACCTGTTGGTGCTGTAACAGCACCTGTGTTTTACAGAAAAGAGTTGTGTTTCCGAAGAAAAAAGGGGTTACCTTTCTCCCTTGGTGTTAGACCTTTTTTTAAGATTTTGTACCCACTTTAAGAGTGTTTTCGAATCTGTAATCATGAGTGGTGAAGATTCTGCTACATCCAGTGTTCCTCAATGCAGAATGGAATGAGTGGGAGTGTGGACCTATCCTTTCCCATGGCTGTTATTCCTCTCGATGGCCTAAATTATTTAGTGTGGACCTATCCTTTCCCATATCCTAGGTAGCAAGGATCTTCCATCCGCCCAGGAAGTTTATGCTCTTGTTCAATCAGAAGAAAGCAAAAGAAATTTGATGAACAATTTTGGAGGGGATGCAGTCGTGTTGGCAAAAAAAGGGAGTGTTACTACCGGTGGGGGAAATACCTTTAAGAAGGGAGATTTTCAAAAAAATGTGGATGACAAGGACAAATTGTGGTGTACTCATTGCCAGAAACCCCAACACACCCGAGACACATGTTGGGATCTTCATGGGAAGCCGAAATGGGCTCAAGAAATGAGTAAGAAGCAAGGTTCAGATATGAATAAAAAGTCAGGACAGCAAGGTACAAGAAAACACACTATGACAAATATGGCTACTCAGGAGAATCAGCCCCCCATTTTTTTTTGATGAATAATAGTAAGTTTATTGATTCAGAAGAAAATTAGAGTGAGTTCATACATCATCCCAGTGAGAGGCGCGAGCTGCAGCCCCTCCTTGAAACTTACAAGTAAACTAGGAAAGAAAAACAAGAATCACAACTTAGCCCAAAATAATTCTTCCCTATTTACCCCTTGCTTAGCTAACACATCTGACAAGGTATTTGCTTATCT